CCAAATCTTCCAGCTGGTTCGGGCTGGCCGCTGGGGGCACAGAGGGTTCAATGAAGGTTGTTCCGACTGTGGTAGGGAGTGGAGCAACGACGGGTGCCCCTGCAAGAGGCACATTCAAACTAGGGATCCCGTCCACTGAGAGGGGGACGGTGAACTGTCCGATGCAGACAGTAGGAAGTTGGGGCTATTCCCTGGACTTATTCATCTCCGTGTTTCATCCGATATTGCTTGAGGACGCCATGAGTGTTGAGATTTTGGAGAGTAAAAAGATGTGGAAGTTTAGAGAAAGGCTTTCTGAAGCATTTCCCACAAACGGCGACAAATGATGTAGCGCGATCCAGTCACTCCTAGCTGGCGCTCATGTGGCTCCTAGAAGATACCTGAGAAGAAGAAAATTCCCGAAAGGAGTTACCCGGCAGAAACACTCCAATGATTAAGTTAGTACTTGGTAGGAGAAGCAAGAAGGAAGATGAAGACTAAGAGTGGAGATAGCGCGCGTACCGTAGATCAATCCCTCTCCCGCCTTGATGCTAAACTCCTTATAACAGAAATTTGTTACCTCTCCCCGTCAGCCTCTGACAAGGCAGGTATAACCGTCACTGCCAACCTACCGCAGCCAGTATTGGCAGAGCTGAGGTGGCACGCGCGGGGCCATCACCGCTAGGTACGTGTCTGTCATGTGTAGGACACCTTCTAAAGGTGGCAGGCACGACGCTGCCTGATGAGTAGACCTGTTCATGGGCCGGGCCGGGCCGGGCTCGGGCCGGGCTTTGACTCTTTATTAACAGAAAACTGTTAGGCCCGAGCACGAGCCCGCCCCGACCAACGGGCCTACAATTTGGGCCCGAGCCCAAAGCCCGATCTAATAAAAGAAATTCAAAATTTTCTGACATTTTCTATTTTAATTTAAATGTTTTTTCCCTATTTAAATGAACAATGGATCTACAAGTGAATCAACGACCTCAAATCAAAAAATTTATTCAAATAGACATCACATAGGGTTTTTACTTAGGTTTAACTATAGGTCGGGCCGGATTTACTTAAGTTTAACTATAAGTCGGGCCGGGCCGGGCTCGGGCCGGGCTATTTTAGCAAAGCCCGAGCCCGGCTCGAATTTTTGCGGGCCGGGCTTTTTGGCCCGAGGTTAAGCCCGCGGGCCAAAAATCCTGTTCAAGCCCGTCCGGGAATCGGGCCGGGCCGGGCTGGCCCGTCGGGCCACCCGGCCCATGAACAGGTCTACTGATGAGGGACACGGCTGCTGTCACCAGATTTGTCTGGTACGGCGGTCGGGCAGGAGATCTTCCTGCCTTCCCTCATGCGGCTCGCCGAGCTTCCACAAACTGGGGTGCTTCAGGGCAGATGGGTCCCTGCCTCGAAGCACCAAGGTGCTCCTTCCCAAGTGGGTAAAAGCTTGGCGTCCCTTAGGGGAGAGCCCGGGCTCTCCGAGCTAGGCAGGGGACTAACTCACCGAGGTATTAACCCTCGACGAGTTGACTGCCTTTGACTTGGCGTTTCCTCCGTGCCGAGTCGGGATCGTGCTGCTAGGCTGGACTGTTCACCAAGCCAGGTCATGCGCACGTGTCCTGGGTTCATGGGGTTGAGCCAAATCGTCCTCCATCAGACCCTATACTAAGCAAAACTGACCTAACCGGTTTGGGTCGATTTTGTGATATTCAAAGTACCTCTTGGCCTTAAAGATCCAATATCAAGAAAAGAGTCCAGATCTCCTGCCCATGAGAACCCTGCCCACTTTTATTGCAGCCACACATGGAGAATATCTCATCATCTGCATAATATTATGCAGGGGGAGATGTTCCCAATTCACGAGGGTAGTGCATTGTGGGTAGGCGTGGGTAGAGTTCTTGTGGGCAGGAGATCCGGAGTCTCAAGAAAAGAGGTAATTGAAGTTCAAATCAACGCCAATACCAAGAAAAGAAGAGCCAAAGAGAATTAGAGAAAGAAGAATGAAATTTGGAAATTGGAAGAAAACTTCTAATCTAAGAAAAAAAGGACACATATTTGTCATTGCCTATTTGGTGTAAAAGACCTTAGAAAGTAGAGATCATTTATTTAAATCTTTCCAAAAAATGCAAAAAGCTATCAAGCTAATATTTCTAAAGGAGTAAAGGTGTAGAGTGTAGGACTAAGGATTCATTGCCTTGCAATGTTTGCCATTAATGGCATTCCTAAAGAAAAAAATGGGAACTAAGTTAGATTGTAATTAGGATAGAGACAACATAATTAAGTAATAACTAATAAATAATAAGTAGTTATATAACTCGATTCGGTTTACCAATTTTTACAACTCGAAACCCACCAATGATAAAGAAAACCGGCCAATTCGGATTAGGTCAGACCGGATTAATCGGTTTGATTGATTTGAATCTTGTCATGAACAGCCCTAGGTATTAGTAACAAAAAAACGTCACATCAAGAATCTAGGTAGGGTGAGAGTTGCCGTCCTTGTACATGTTGAGACCGGATTATCCCTATTGGGAGCATGGACGTGTAGTCATCTCACAATAGCAGGAATGAATGAAACAGAAAAGGTGGTACCCATTAATGGCAAGAACACCTGATGTGCGAATTGGACTCAGCCATCTTTTGTTTTCAGAAACTTATTCCTACTATTTTGAATAACTTTACTTTGCTAGAAAAGAAAGATGTTGCCCAAAAACCTGAACATGGACGTGTAATCAGATTATCATTGGTTCCACAGGTTTCGGGGTTCTCTCATCAGCAATCTATTTAAAAAATAAAAAATGCTTCACGTAGGGATAAGCATTTGGTTTATTCGGTCAAAAAATGTAATTGAATAAATCGAAACCAAGTTAATTAGAATTTTAATTCGATTATTCTGATTAAAACCAAATTTTAATATATATATTGGACGTATTAATATATTGGGAAATTTTTTATTAGTATCCTGTACTTTGTGCTTAGTGGCATTTTGGTTTCCGAATTTTTAAAATTTGTCAATTTAGTACCTGCTATTAATCAGTTATTATTGTTAATCAGTCATTAAGTGGCATTTGAAAAAGACTAAATGTCCTTGAGTGTCATCTAATTTTCTTTATCAATCATCTAAACATTGACAAAAAATTAACAGTCCCAAATCATTGTATCTTCTATTTAAAAAAGTTGGGGTCACTATAATATCCACTGATACATGACCCCAACTTTCTTGAATAGGAGGCAAGGATTTGGGACTATTAATTTTTTGTCAACAATTAGATGGTTTATAAAGAAAATTAAATGACACTAAAAAAATATTTTTATCTTTTTCAAATGCCACTTAATGACTGGTTAATAGTTGGTTAATGGCAAGTACTAAATTGAAATGTTTTAAAAATTCAGGTATTGAATTATCACATTTTAAAATTTAGGGACTAAAGTATTACTAAGCACAAAGTATAAAATATTAATCAAGAATTTTCTCTAATATATTCTAATCCAAATCCTCTCTTTATCTACTTCCTCGTCCCTCGCTTTCTCTGTACAGTCTTGATGGTAGATCCTTTGATGGATTCATGTCTATATAAAATGCCAAATAGTTTCATGCAGAAATCACTTCAATTGGCAAATCCCATCACAGATACAGTACATAACAGTCACCAGATTGAAGATGCAAACCGCTCTTACTTTTACAAGAGCAAGGAAAAGAAATCATTCAAAAGAGGGATAAGGTAAAATCCTCTATAGTTAGATAGTTAATCACGAGTGAACACACTAATGTTTTGTGTAATATGACTTAGTCTATACCCTACTACTCATTTGTTATTAAGCATAGTCATAGCCATGACATGAGCATTTGGATTTTGGACTGGGTGAATAGGCTGATTACATCAGCTTACTAAATTCAGTTCAGCCAAGTAGCCATCTCATGTTGGTCATAACTAAATTACCACTTTGTCCACCCTAGTGAGACTGTAGAGACTCAACATTATCGTTGCCGTCGTCATCATCATTACCTAAGTCTCATCCAATTATGCATAGTTGGTTACATAAATCTTATTTTGTAATTCTATTTTATTCACATTCACCGGTTAAATTATTCAAATCCTTATCGATCTATCCCCAGCTCTTCTAGCCCCTAATCAGTCTCCCAGGCATTCCTCATGGCAAATGATATTGCAACAAACCTTGACTTAATTGCCAATGAACCCTATTCACTTACTTCCCAAGAGAGTGATTTGGACTTCCCCTCACTTTCTATCAACACCAATGTAAGTTGGGAGTCGCTCTTTTCCTCACCAAATGTGAACACTAACGTTTCCTTCTTTGACTGCAACCACAATAAGAACAAGCCACAGCTGCCTTCACACCTAAAATTCTCTAATCAAAGTCCTACACGTGAGTTGATTTACCGGTTTAGATGAATCGGGATTTGCTACTCAAAGAGTGCATCCCACACCGACCTTACAGCCCTATTCAACCGTGTATTGAGAATATCTTCATACAAAATGCGGGAGATGTTGTGAGGTTAGTTTCAGGAGTGCTCTCTAAGGAACTGATCCGGACTTAATTTAGACTTTAGACACCTCCATCATAATTTTTTTTTTTTTTTAATGTCATAAGACTCAGACCGAACAAAAGAACCGGAATGTTCAAGGAGTCACAGTTATAGTTCTAAACCCATTCAACTCGTGAAAAGTGAAAACTATCATTCTGTCATTTAATCAGCACCCAGGTCTTGGCTTTCACGGTCCAGACCGTCCAGCCTGATCCGACCCGATTCCTACAACACTTCTTACAAAGTCCAGATGAGCAAATCCATCCAAATTCATGGATGGAATTACAATCATTCCTGCAAGAGATTTGCAATTCCTTGGCAGATTTAGAAAACTTGATTGCAGAATGAATGACTTATGAAGAGATTAAAAGAAGATGATACGCGTGCGTAATGCGCACTCACTGAATCATATCCTCTTACACTAGTTTCCCCGTTTATATTTACAGACTACAGAACAAATCTTTCATCCGACGCTGCTGCCGCGTAATCAGACGGAAGCGGGTCCCACAACCCCCCACTTTCGACGGCAATCAAGCTCCTTGGGTGGGTCTAGGTTTCGTCGTTGCCATATACTCTCACGACCGAACGATTCATCCAGGTCATCAGCGATCCACGTTTCGGATCTCCGACCCGACGCAAACCTCTTCAACCCTGCCAGTCCCGGAGGTGGTGGCTCTATCTCTGACGCTGTTATACTCGCCGGAGACTTAAACGGGATCGACGAGACACTCTCTTGTGCCGGTGAGAATATTGGTTGCTCGTCGATTTTAACGGCTTGCTGTGCTTTGCAACCCGACCGGAATATCGCCTTCAAGCTCGCCCAAATCCCTGTTTTCTCCCGTTTTGATTTTGGTGTTACAGGAGCTGTTGCTGCGGTCTTCTCGGCCTTCTCCGCAGAGCGTCGGCGGTTTCTCCCGCGATGACGGCTCCTGTCCTTCGGCCTGACCCTCCCTATACACGAGACTCTCGGCGACGACGGTTCGGAAACCGGGACGGCCGGTTTTCCCGAGGCCGAGTCGGTTTTCTTGGGGAACAACCGGGCGTTGGACGCGCGGCAACTCCTGCGGAACCTGCAGTCGGCATAGCAGGACTTCTGTGGCTTAGGCAGGCCGATGATCGATGCTTTGGATTTCAAATTCAAAGAGTACCGCTGAGAGCTGAAATTGGAATTGAGACTCGGATTTAAGTTGGAACTGTGGTTGTTGTTGTTGGAGATACCTTTCTTAGAATCCTTACGCTCGTAGAAAACGTTCTGGTCGAACCAGTCAAGCTCCTGATCCTTCGATAGCCAAAAAGACTCGGCTGGTTGGTCTGGTGGATCCTCCAGATGATCCTTGTTTTCCGGCGGACGGTGGTCGCCGATGAGCGTTTCACAGGCGATTTTTCCGTCGCCGCCACCTCCACCGCAAACTAGCGTTTCAAGATCGCCCTGAGGCATCGAATTCCGAGCGAGCGAGCGAGAGAGAGAAAGAGAGAGGGGGATGAATGCAGAGAGGAGGGAATTTAGAGGGAGAATTAGGTTGAGATTTTCTTGGCTGCAAACTTGACTTTATGTTTATATTTATTCGTCGGTGGTTTCCTTTGGGACGGCGCCTCCTACTCTGGTTTGTATTTATATAGCTGGAGTCGCGATGGTTTGGCTACATTCAGAAACCGTTGGATCCGGATCTTCTAACAGTTGTTGCTGTGGTTACTGACCTACAGTATTACCGTAGGCGCGTAGACTCCTAGTCAGAGAAGACGAAAGCAAATATGTAGTTGAAAAGGATTGGTGACTGCCACCCGTTCAATTGCTCTAAATCCAATAAGATCAGAGGGCTACAATCTTTTGCTTCTGCTTGTATTTGGATCAGATGATTAGCTAAACTATGTAAGACCATTCCTTAGCTTGTCTCACTCGAAACATGGGAGACATGAGCCACGTGGCAAGTTATGGGGGCCACAAACATGCCCATGCATGTGGCCTGTCTACTGAGTCCTTCAACTCAAGATTTTAATTCAGCCTCCTTTTGTGTTGCAGTAGATGCATGGGAGTGCAAATGGGCTCAGTGCAAAATTTTGTTCAATTTGTTTGGGAGGAATAAAAAAAAATGGTGTCTCGTAAGAATTGAATGTAGGAAGAAGCTGAAGCAAACTTCGCATCAGTTTTTGGGATACAAAAGTGCAAATTTTGCATTTAGGTGTATAACTGTAATATGTTGTGAATTGAATTAGGCGTAAAATTTGTATCTATTTTAGATTTGCACCTTTTCTATATTGAGAAAATCCCATGATTAGATCTATAATACTGCATGCTTTTGTATTTTTAAAGCAAGACAGAAACATGCTCTTAGGCTTTTACTTTGTATTTTATACTGTCTAAATAGTTTTGCTATGAAAGTATGATTCCAGAACAACTCACCTATCAATTTCAACAAAAACACATTAGCACGTTCTAGAAGTCTGGTAAAAGTGCAAATGCACAACAGCACAAGGGAAGCAAAATTGCGCTCTGATTCAGTTTTTGTAGTCATTTCGGTGAGGGTGCAGATTGGGTGGGCTTGGGTTGGGCTTTTGTCAAACCCCGACATTTCAGTAAGAATACATTTTTTTTTTTTTGTACTGAATTGTTTTGTTCAACTGTTTTTGACTTTTTGTAGTTAAAATGAGAGCACAGTGGAAGGAAAGTTTACATTAGATTTTTTCCAGGCTTGAGGGTTTCCATTGTCTATTTGAACAAATTTGCTTTCACATCAGTGCAGTGACTTTTTGCACTTCATGTTTTCATTGTTTCAGAAAGCAACAGCATCCAGATACAGAAGTAATAGCACAAAGTCCAAAGTCCAAAGTTTGCACTTCATGTTTTCATTGTTTCAGAAAGCAACAGCATCCAGATACAGAAGTACTTTTATCTGCAATTTTTACTTTTCATGGTAGAAAACGGTCAACTATCCAAACACAACGTAGTGTTTCCATGGTTTTTACAAGGGTAAGTATGAAATAACAGGGGACTGCATTTGTTACTCCTTTCAGTCACAATAGTTTTCCAGATAGATTATAAGAGAGTCCTTACACGTAAAGTCAGCACAATGAATTGACTTTCAAGCATACACTTCTTCATTATGTGAAGTATTTCAAGAATTAAATAGAACTGTCCAAATGCATTTAGATTTCATGTTGACTTTAGGTCTAATGAAGAGTTTCCAATGGTGGATTGTTGGGACCAATTTAATTGCAGAAGACATTAATTCTCCAAAGGAAACTCAGGCATGATTAATACAAATAAGTAATACAACAAGCCATGGAATAGAAATGTAGACAATCTGTATTCAGAAATCTTAATGTTTGAAGAATAAAACATGAACACAATGCAGTTCATCTGGAATATCACAGTGAAAGGTGAGCTAGCTTGGAGCCATGTGGGATCTACAATGTATTTCAGACCAACAGTGGAGATGCATGGTTGGAACTTGGAAGTATTAATTTTGAATTAATTACATGTCCCCTTAATATCTTTTGTGGCGCAAAATCTATGATGCATCGGCAAAATACATGATTCATTTGAATGTGATGGTAACTATGTTAAACATGAAAGTATATTTTGTGAAATGTAAAACAATGAAGAGTATGCAATTTTTATTGTGATTGGTTGAGACTAAATTTAATGTGAAACCAATATTGATGAATGTGTCCCCGTGAGCAAGAGCTTGGAATCAGTACTAGTGAGTCTAACAATAATGTCCCCGCTGTGAACCACAGCTCGGACAATATCATAGGCATGCCACGCTCTGAGTTGTCTACTTTGTCCAGTAATGTCAGCCCATCTTTGGAGGATCAGATGCCTGAGCAGCTGCAAGCAACCATAGGCGGCCAGTGCTCGCTACTACGTGGGTCGTTGCGCCCTATCACACTCAAGGTAATCAGATGAAGCTTATGCTCTTCATGCTCTCAAGTTAAATATGGATCGTTGAATTTTAATTTCGTCGTACATGCATTCGTTCTTTGCATTTGAAGATGTGAATTACAATATAAATTTGAAGAAGTCCGATGGATGCTGGTTTTCTACACCAGAACCCAAGCCTACTGAACGCACCATACTCAATGGCGTTACTGGGGTTGTCCGACCGGGCGACCTCCTAGCAATGCTCGGCCCATCCGGCAGCGGGAAAACGACAATCTTGACAGCCCTGGCAGGTAGGCTTCTAGGGAAATTCTCCGGCAGCATCACCTACAATGGGCAGACCTTCTCCGGCTCCATAAAGCGCAAGATTGGGTTTGTGTCACAAGATGGCATACTGTATCCCCACCTCACCGTGCTGGAGACGCTAACCTACGTCGGGGAAGTTCTACGGTAGCATCACCTGCAAGCGAGTCAGTATCGGGCAAGAGATGCTGGTGAATCCGAGTCTGTTGTTGCTGGATGAACCCACGTCGGGGCTCGACTCCACCACCGCTTAGCGTATCGTGGATATATTGCAAGGGCTCGCAAGAGGTGGAAGAACGGTGGTGACAACGATACATCAGCCATCGAGCCAGCTGTACCGGATGTTTGATAAGCTGGTGGTGTTATCAGATGGGTGCCCAATATACAATGGCAGCGCGTCTTGGGCACCCGAATGTTTCGGTTCTATCGGTTACACGCCGGGGGTTAATCTCGTCAATCCAACTGATCTTCTGCTAGATCTAGCTGGGGGTTAATTTCGGTTCTATCGGTTACATGGGTTATTTAAAAGGGTAGAATGGGTATTTAAAAGAAATTGCTACATCAGTTTAATGTTTTTCATCTGAAAAAGTGACCGAAGGGAGGTTTTTGTCGAGTTTCTCAAAAGTCTAGGGAGGTATTTATTAAAATGAAACCAGAGGGGAGGCTTTTATAATTGTCAGAAACCTTAAGGGAGGTTTTTTGTATTTTACCCTTTTTTTCCCTAATGGATCTAGAGAGAGTAATTCGTTGGGATCTATGTGAGAGGGTATACAAGGGATTTAGAATTGGGTTTGTTCAATTCAAGTGAGTCTTTTCATCAATTGTACTTAATTACTCCCATATAGTAAAAGTTTTGCCATCTCTCCTTGGTTGTAGGAAAAGAGTGTCAAACCATGTAAATCTTGTGTGTATTTATTTATTTTCAGGTTTGTTCTTTAGGCTGCGATTGGTTAATTGCAAGCAATTTTATTTGCACTAACACAAATGTATGGGAATGTAAATGAAAAAAAAATGTAAATTCTGGTTTAATTTTGTTTTGGTTTTTATTTTATTCTGTTTCATGTCTTAATTTACTTCATTTGTACTGCATTCAAACAAATAAGCTAAAATTTAAAAGAAAAATAGGTCAGAATTTACACTCAAATTATTTGCACTATCATAGTTTTACATCAATACAAATTTTGTTTGTGATGAGAGCGGATTTGGCCCTCTAGTGAAATTGTGACACCTGGCACCTCATGCAAACCAAGTGTAGCCTCTTGACAACTGGGCAGCTCGGGCAGCTCGGCAGAATTTGCCACAGCTTGCCACTTACAGACAGCTTAGCATGGCTCGCCACAGGCAGCTCGGCAGAGCTCGCCACAGGCAGCTCGGCAGAGCTCGCCACAAGCAGCTCGGCATAGCTCGAGAAGCTCGGTATAGCTAGGGGCAGCTCGGCATAGGCAGCTCGCCACATGCAGCTGGCCACTCCGCAAGCAGCCTGGCATCTTACGAAGAGCTCGCCACTTAGGGGCAGCTCGGCACTTACAAGTAGCTCGGCATAGGCAGCTCGCCACAGGCAACTGGCCACTTCGCAGGCATCCTGGCGTCTTACGAAGAGCTCGCCACTTAGGGGCAGCTCAGCACTTACAGGTAGCTCGGCATAGGTAGCTCGGCACTTAGGGGCAGCTCGACGTATCGTAGGAAGATCTCCTGCCTGACAACCATACCTGACAGATCCGGAGGCCTACGCCCACGTCTCTCGCTAGGCAGCGCCGTGCCTGCCAGTCCTGAGAGTTGTCCCTTGACTGGCAGAGCCGTACTCTGCAACAACTGTCTACACCCGCCACCTCAGCTCTGGCAGTAACGGTTGCGGCAGAGAGACAGAGGCAGTTACGCTTGACTTGACAGAGGCCGTTACGCCTAATTTGACAGGACACCACTATATAAGGACTCCAACCCCCAAAGACAAGGGGGAGAGAATGAAAAAATGGAGGTAATCCCTGCTCTCTAGCTCTCTCATTTCTCTCCAAGCTCCCTACAATTAGAATGCCAACTTAGGCATCGGAGAGTCCCCGCCGGGAAAATACCCCCGGGTCCTCTAATTCAGTTCTCGCAGGTTCCTCAGCTCCCACCGCCTACAAAGAGGAGGAAAAGATGGAGTTCTCGCAGGTCCCTCAGCTCCCGCCGCCTACAAAGGAGAGAAGATCACCTCATGCAGAGGGCAGTCGAGTTGCGCTACACTAGGGAGCTCCACCATCCTCTCCTGGGAGCAG